TACCACAACCAGTCGATATATGTGACAGAGTTTCAGGGTTCTGACTTCGTGGTTGGAGAGGAGAAGAAGAACTATTACTATTTAAAGAAACAGTGCCCTCTAGTGGATTTCTTTAGCATATCGTCCTTCAAGCAAGTGGCAGAGATGGCTCAATCAGGTTAAGCTAAGTTAGACACTCCTCATATTGAGATATAGAGACCCAAAATGTGCTCAACCAAATGGTTGAGCGGGCAGTTTTAAGGGGATGAAGAAATATTGGCCAATAGCTTGACCTGGTGCTCCTACAGGTTAGAAAGTGTAGTGTAAGACATAAATAGTTATCACCCTTTGTGTTTCTTTCCGAACAACTCACTACGTCTGTATGTAGAAGACTGAGCAATTAGTTTTGAGAATTTCAATTCTGATATGAGAATTTCACCACAGCAAATAAAAATAAGTGTAATAAGACATTACACCATTACACCAGTGATTGCAGTGATTATGCAAGGTTTCGTACTGCAGCTTCTTTTGGAGGAAGAAACGTTTTCAGGCCTCTGACCAAACAAGAATAAAAAGAAGAAAATACAGTTTATCTGTATTTAAGGAAAATGCATAGAATAAAATAGCTACAGACGTACCCAATTTGTTAAAAGATTTTTCTCCCTTATTGTATCAAAGTGTGATATTTGTGACATTTTGGAGTGTTTTAGACAATTTTATGCACCAAATACAACAATTAGGAACTAATGTACACTGCTAAAAGAATGAAACAGATCAGCCTCGTATTCTTGAAAAATGTTAAAATGAAAATGATGAAGTCATCCTTTTACTATATTCCCTTTATGTATTGAGAATAAATTCAACATAACTCCAGGGATGATTTGGGCATTTAAAATCTTTCTAGATTCTTCCTATTGTTTTTTTCTTTTCAATCATCTTTTCTCTAAGTCAAACTAGATCAGTCACTTTAATGTTTTACATTGCATTTTTTATTAAATAAATATTACTCGATAGAAATTTGATTTCATTTTGTCGTTGCAGAGTATTTTTTGGTTCTCTTTTAAAC